CCCCAAAACCCCAAAACCCCAAAACCCCAGGAATTAATTTAAATAGAGGAAAGTAGAAAAATAAATAAAAATTTGAAATAAAGAAATGAATGAACTCAATCGCAAGGAGTCAACTAAGTCCCTTCCTGAGCAAGTTGGAGAATATATCAGTCATCATAATGTAAGTCTATTTTCATTACAAAAAACATGTCGCTATTCTAAGATAAATTTGATAACAAATTACTAGATAGATAAAATTGTGAATAGAGCACTGAACCATGTTTTGAGAACAAAGCCAATCGACCCACTCTCAGCAATAGCAACCATACTTCTTTCAGAAGCTAAAAATAGTCTGCCTGTATTTGATAGAATTTATGCAAGAAAAACTTTCCTCTATGAGACCTCTACTAACCAAACTCTGAAGCTTTAGGTTTATCTCAACTTCTAGGGTAGATCTGATATTCGTTACACTCATATCTTGGCATACGACCCAGAGGAATAAGATAAGTTTTTGTTCGACAACAAGGCTGAAAAAACTGGTCTCGAACATGCTTGTGATATTATTAACAACGAAATCAGTCAGCATCTTCATGGTAAAGTTATTGAAACAATGGATGAAATTGATCAATAATTGCATTATTTTTATCAAGGCAAGATGGATGGTCATTCTGATATTGGCTTTAATGTTATCAAAGCCTGCTCTGAGGCTATTCTATTCGCAGCTGCAAGCTGTTTTGAGAGAATCAATCTCTATAAATCAATTAGAGTGAATTAATATCAAAGTGAATTCCCAGCAGTTCATACTAAACTGATGCTAACTTTGTTCAATGGAGGCAAATCAAATGGGTCAGCTGTTAAGTTTTAAAAGTTCTATCTCATTATAGACCCCTATGATAGAAATGAGAATCACATTTAAACCGTGGATATTGTAGATTCCTATCTAAAATTCCAATAGGCTTTAAGAAAGGCAGTTTCAACTACCAAACAAGGTGTAAGTATAATATGAAATTTTTTATTTTAATGTAGGAAGCTGGATTTAAACCAGGCCCAGATAGTAGCTATTTTAACGCTCTTGGCTCTATCAATGAAACATTTAAAATTATAGAAGACTCTATTACTACCTCAGGAGCAAACACAGCTGATGGCAAAGTTTTTAAGATTGGAATCAACTGCGAAGCTGATTCATATTTCAACAAGGATCCGAAGGATGCGAACAAATATGAAGTGGAGGGTTAGAAAAATCAAGCTGATTAAGATTAGCTTACTGAATACTATGCTAAGGTTTGCAATGAGCATCCACTTGTAGCTTACATTGAAGATCCTTTTGCTAATCATGATGTAAAGGGTTATCAAAAAATTACTGCTAAGTTTAAGTCAGCATTACCTCATGTGAAGGTAGGGGTTAAGGCAATGTTTAATGATGGAGCTATTTAAAAGATTGATCAGATGACTGTGTATAATATGGTTCCCGGACCAAACAATGAGATGATTGAAGATGCCGACACTAATAAGGATAAATTTACCCCTCATTTGATTCATCTGAATAGACAGCATTTGAAAACAATTTCTGAGCATGCTCTCTATCACAGAAATTTGATTTCCTAACCAAAAGAGAGGCAATACAATTATGTGATTGACGATGGAAAGATTGAAAGTTTACAGACCGGGATTGTGGATTTCGCTATTGGATTTGGATTCGAATACCTCAATATTTAAGGATTCATTAAGGCTGAAAAGGTTGCTAAGGTCTAGAGATTTATTGAAATTATAGACGAAATCCAATAGCATCAAGCTTGAATAATAATTCTTAATTTTGATTGATGATTTTAATATTAAAAAGATAATTTAAACAGATTGATTATATTAAATATGGAATTGCTTAAAGTAATCAGAGAATAGTCAGGAGATTTCCCTAAATTTGAAAGTTAACTTGCTAAGACTCTAGCACCAGAACTAGTGGCACCTATTTAAGATGGCAGAAACTTACTACATATCATTTGTGCCTCAGGCTACACAAAATATGCTTAGCTGCTTTTGAACTCAGCCACTTAGAAACAAATACTCAGTGAATTATTAGATTCGAAAGAGGAGAAAGAGGGCTAGACACCCCTATTTTTCGCAATTAGATGTGCACCTAATGGATTTCCTGAGATTATACAATTGCTTATTAAGAGTGGATGTAACGTCAATCTCAGAGATAAACTTGGAAGAGCCGCAATTCATTTCGCTTGTGAACAAGGCCAAGATGACACTCTATAGCTCTTGATTTAGCATGGTGCTGATTGCAATGTCTAAGACATAGATGACTTGAAGACACCACTTCATTTCGCTATTTAGAATGGCTAGTATAATGCAGTCTAGATTCTATGTGAATAAGGAAACGCCAAGAAAGAGTTAGTTGATAAAAATGGTGACTCAGTTTTACATTATGCTGCCATCGGATAGGGTAATGCTAATCTTTATCTTAGGTATTTGATTGAGAAGTAAGGCATGAGTGTATTCATTAAAAATGCAGAAAAATTAACTCCAAAGGAATTAGCTGAGAAATTGAGCAAGTAAAAGTATCATAGAGTCATAAAGAATCTTAAAAACTATGAAGCAAAGGAAACTGTTAAGATTAATGCTCAAAAGCAGTCAAAGGTTAAGAAGATAAAGAAGATTGTAATTTATGAAGACGAGAAAGGTATTGTGCCTCTATTAATGAAAAATATATGGGTAAGTGCATTAGCACCTGTTATATTGGCCTTGCTATTGTTATTTATTGAAAAGTTACTGTTTTGAATTTATTGGCATAATAATTAAAGTAATTCAATCTGTTACTCAGTTCCAAAGTTTTATCATCATGGGGTTTTGGGGTTTTGGGGTTTTGGGG